AGGGTTTAACACCCCCCCCCCCCCCCAAAAAAAAAAAGAAAGAGTAACAGTGGTAGGTTCTCTATAACTTCTGTTAGCTGAGCTGGAGAAGTTGCATCGCGTCTTGATCTGTTTCATCTTGGTAGAATTATACTGTAACTAATTGAATCCATTGATCACTGTCTTGTTTTTTTCCATCTTCTTCTCAGAGGATTCATTTCATAGTGTTCCGTACATCAGTCAAGAAAATGGCTGCAGTGGAATTACCAGGGTTGATAATAAAGGTAATTTAGCCCAGCTGAAATTATTTTTTATGTATCTAAGTAGGGTAACGCATTCACATGTGCTGCCTTAAATCTAGTGATGGAATACCTGCAAGGGCTAGACTGCAGGATCCTGAAATAACTCTTCTTGATGACCACGGAAAGTAAGAGTAGGTGACCAAAGGACCTTTTGCAGCCTGACAATGATCATGCAATTATCAAACCATGTTAATTTGATCAAAGAACTGGCCCGGAGCAGCGTAAATAACCTCTGTTTTGTGCACTTCATGGAACAGGGAGTATTTTTGGATTAGATAGCAAGTGCTTAACAAGCAGGAATAGCAGTAAGCGTCAGGAGAAGCTGTGTGTGTGTGTAGCTGATGGTTAGAAGTCTTCTATGATTCAGGTTAGAAATAGGAGCCAAATCTGGCCTCGGTCAGGAGGGTTTTACCGTGGATGTCTGGTGGTGGCATTTAGTCCTTACTAACTAACAGTTTGGAAAGGGATTCTCCTACTAGATTAGGGTTGGTCTTGTCAGTAATACGCAAGACAGGATGTCAGGAGATCTGAGCTGAGGTCTGCCACAGATTTCCAGTACGATTTAGGTCAAGTTATCTAATCTCGCCTGCTGACACAGTTTCACCCCAAGACAAGGTGACAGGAGAGTTTGTAAAACGTTTACTTAACAAAGAGGCATTTTTACTCTCTCATTCTCACCCAGGTCAAGGGCTGAAGGCAAGAGCACAACCGTCTTCTGCTGACAAAGCCACATGCATGCTTCTTGCTCTTGCTCCTGCCTGAATTCAGTCCTGTGGGGCCAGTGGGCAGGGTGGCCACGTCCAGCCCTCTGAGGTGACCAATTCCTCTGGTCAGTGGAGTTCGATCCCAAAAGGAGGTATCCCTGCTTGCAGTCTCTCCCTGGCAGCAGAGCAACAGCTTCTGGAGCTGCTGAGCTGCCTACAAGCACACATGCCCTTTGCCTAGATCAGCACTTTTTTTGGACAATGTACAGTATTTGCAAATGGGAACTGACAATGGAAGAAATACAGCAGAGTGAAGGGTTTAATATAAAATATTTATACAGTAAAGATCTTTCATCTTTTGTCAGTCGCAGGGTAGGGAAGTGAGGAATGTATTGGGAGTACATTACCAAGAGTATGTTATAAATTAAAATCTCAAATTGAATAATACTGGCTGCTAATGTGCGCAGCGTTGGAAATGAGTCACTTCTGAATCAATGTAATTTACTGTGCCAGCTGAAAGATATTTACAAAAGAAGGTACCTTCTTCTTGTTTTTTTTTTACTTAGATTTTATTCAACACTTACGGATAGCCTGTGCTGTCAACACCAACTAATTTGTCACGGAGAGAAAGTCACAGCCGTTAATACAGAGCTGTTTCAAAAGCTCTTAGGAAACAGAAAGGTGGCCTTTGGGCCACATGAGTGGTCAAACAGTTTATACTCACTGTTTCCTCTCAAATTTAGTACTGGTAATTAGTAGTGCAGCAATTTTGCAGAGATTAGTTAGTGGGAGGGAGCACTCTGTCTATTTTCTTGTAGAACTATTGAGTACAAAAATAACTGTTTCTGCTTTGTCCTCCCAGCCCATGTCCTTCAGTGCATGTAAGCTTTTATTTGGGCACTGTAACCTCAGCAAAGTGTTTGGTCCCATGGCCATCAGATGGTTCCCATCATTTCAGCAGGTTGGTCTTGGAGGTGGTATTACATAGTTGAGGCCAATATAGGGTTTATTACCTTGGAACACCCAACTTTTCAGGTGCAAAGTGGTACATCCACAAAGTGGGACTTGGCAAAGTGTAGATTTTGAAAGCTTGTTAGCCAAATGCTGTGCATGAGTTGGTGTCCTCTTGTATCTAAAAACCATTTTAGCAGTATAATTAGTCCTGGTACAGTGCTGTACTCGTGTTTGAATGGCTTCTGGTTCCTGGTGAGGGTGGCTGCCACTATTTAAGACAATTGTCACTGCACAGACCATTTGGTTACATATAGCTAACATGACATAAGATAACCATACATTGGGAATGGTGGGTCAAATATCCAGGCACATAAAATGTAATGAAGGAGAGATGAATGGAAGAAAGCAGGTTTCAAAGCCAGTCTAAATTCAGATTTCTGCTTCTTTCCTCCTTCTGCCATTGATTTTTGCCACCTTGTCAAGCAAAGAAGGATGCTCTGGGAATTTCTGTCCTAGTCTGAACTATGTCAGATTCTTATTCCATTTCGTTTTTGCCACAGACTCTCTGATCCAGGCAAATATTTTGTGCTTAGGTTCACCTCATCTAACTTTGTCTGCTTTAAACTCAGGTGCTTGGTCTAAGATGGTTGTCTAGGCTGGTTTTGTTGCTCGGTGGAATGGGAGAGGCACCCCCGAGGGCATTTCAGCCCAGCAAAATCCTTTCACAACTGCCTGCCTCTCACTGTCGACTCCAGAAAGAGCAGAGGCACCTCGCTTTGAGATGTGCCCAACCATTAAACAGCCACATTTAGGTGAGACAAATCTCGCCTTCAGTCTCTCTGCCCTTTAGTGTTTTATCAGTGCAATAGAAATAGTTTCAGATAGAGATGGTGGGAGTAAGTAGACTGAAAGGGGAGGGATATATATATAAAGACTGATGGAACTTTCCTCTCCCTTTACTTATCGAACATATGTAAAGGTAACTGCAGACACTACCAAATTAGTTGTAACTGTGGAGATGCAGGTGATCTTCTGATGGATTCATGGACAGGCTTCTATACATAATAAAATATGTATTAAGGTCATATTCTAGCAGAGCAGTAGGGAAACTGGAGTATTCTTATGTCATACTTTTTTGGTAGCAATGCTTCTGCTGGGTTGCATCACTGTCTGTAAATTTTATTGATTATAATTAAGTCAGTCTGCGTTGTCTCTAAGAACCTACATGGGTTTAAAAATCAATACTCCTCATATTCATCAGGGGAACCAGTTTGAAAAGGGATTATAGTGGGAATAAGCAATGCATTTATAGCTCTGAGTTTGTGTTTACAAACCATTAAATGTTGGCCTTCTCGACAGTCCTCATTTAGGGGTCGGAAATGTTTTTTTCCCCATCTTTTATCCCGTGAACAATAAGGAAAATTCTCCTTCCGTGGTTACCTGCCCTAGCTTGCACCTCCTGGCTGGAGCTTTGCTTTCTTAGTGAGCTTTCATGGGCATGGAGAAAGCCTTGGACAAGCAGGAACGTGAGCAGACATACTAAACCCAGCGGTGAACCCACTGAAGTCCTCTCAACTGGGTCACTTCTATGGCAGCATCCTGTTGTCTTAAAGGGGTTTATCAGTTATCTCACTTGGCTTGTTTTGCTACCCAGAAAATATTGCAGTTACAGTTATTGGAGGCTCTAACAACCATGGAAAGCCAGAGCAAAGAGAAAATGCTAAGGGTACCTGTTACTATTGATTTATGGTTGAAGATTAAGGCCAGATTGCCCTCTCCTTATTTCTTTAACAACCTGGTCCATAGATAGGCTTCCTCTGAGTCAATAGGTTCCTTATGTAGGTGTTATTTACTGAGGATAATGTTATCACAGTCTGGTGCACTAAATATGTATAACTCACCTTAGGGAGAAGATGTGAAAGATCTTTGATGATATGAAAGGTGTGAACACTAAGGAGAGTGAAGGATAATTTAGGTTGGGACTTGGGAGTACAACTAAAAACCATCCCATCAAAAAATACAGTAGCTATGGAGTCCTTCCCAGGAGGAAATTTAAGTGTCCTTTAGTTTGAGTCTCTTGAAAGCAGGAGAAAGGAGTGAAATTCTCTTTGTAGGCATTGATCTGTGGACAAAGAAGTGGGTTGGGTGATCTTAGCAAGCTTTACTACCTTTGTGTTTTGTGCAGTGCTTTGATTCATATTTGATTTGGCCTATAATTGATCCACATAATGCACAACGTATTGCACCACTGATGCTGGCTTACTATTTCCATACTGTGCCTTAGTACATACTAGTGGGGACTTTACTAGATTTGATTCAATTTATTGTATCAACGATTTCAGTTTTAACGGCTCTCTAGCGTGGTAATGGAATGGCACAGAACAAGGCATCCTCTTAGCTTGTGAAACCTTGCAGGATCCCAGGGGAGTGAGATTCATGCATGGCTCCTAACTATGTTTGAGAAGCTGGTGGTTGGAACATTTAGGCATCCATCCACATCCCCAAAATAACCATAGGAAAACTGGCATTTAAGTGTCAGTATGAAAAGACCACAAAGGAAAGACCAAGGGAAACTGGGCTTAAGTAGGAGTCAGAGTGGTTTCGAGATCACATAGCAAACCAACTTTCTCATCCTAGGCACTGTTCTTCTACATCATTGACATTTTGATTGTGTCTTAATGCAGGGAAGCTTAAAAAGTAACTGGCTGAGCTTTGGGTTTTGTGCAGAGCCATCTGATACCGCTCACTACTAATAAATGCACACATATGCATGCATACATACAGTAGAAGGAGGTGGATATTGCTGAAGAAACCAAAAGAATCCCATGTGAAATAATAGAGCTTTTCTTTTTCTGGATTCCAGCCTAGGCAGCTGTAAAGGTCTGGTCAGAGCTGGCTTTGGGCAGTGGCAAAACCTGCAGGCTGGGCTTTAAAAAGCACACAAGGAGTTGTGAGAAATGTTCTTCAGCTGCAGTTCTTTGGCTAGAAACCACTGTCCCAGGCTAGGATGGCCTGGAAATTTCTCAGGAAGATTTGAAGGGACCTGAATAGCCAAGCTTACCTCAGGCCATTGACAATGGAAGGTCTGGTGGTGTCTGCCATGCCAGCATTTTCCAGTGTACGCGCTCAGCTGTAATGATTCATGAGAAAAGAAGTTTAACTGTGGTCAGTAGTTGAGAATATGTCTTTGTATTCTCTTATCAATGTTTTTCATTTGTAGCAGGACTTGGCTTGTTTGTTAATATGAAGTTCTCCATTTATTTGGAAAACAAGGTTTGACTTATCGCATTGTTTGGCAGGAGAGAAGAAATGCAACCCCCCTAAAGCCCGGGAACAAGTAGAGGGAAAAGTTAAGTTTCAGGGAAAGTTGCTTGGTCAGTGGGAATTGGCACACTGAAGTAAGCAAATCAGTGTCCACATCTTGTTTGCATCAAAGGCAAGATGATGGTGAAGAGACTTAACCTGACTGGTAACTCAGGAAGATGCAAGACAGTTTTACGCCTCAGAAATGTTTTAAACCACAAGCATTTTGCTAGGACATTTAAAAATATCACAGCCTTGCTCACTGTGAAAAGTAAGATACCCATCATTTGTCTTAAACTAGCGATTGCAAAGTTCACAAGCTGCTGTGCAACGTTGATTCAGTTGTACTACCTGGTGTAGTACCAGCTAATACCGATGAGTTATTGAAATCACTGAGTTGTTCATGTGACTTTTGCAGACAGCACTTAGATTTTTTAAAACATGATCTGCCACAACATGACGTGGCATCATTCCCGTTTTACCAGGGGAGAAAGGGCAATGCTAGTTGGAATCTGCATCGTGTGCAAAGCTGATGCTAGGACCCACATCTCTTTAATCATAAACAATTCTCTTTTAAACTCTTCCCATTGACTTTAATAGGGCCAGGGTTTGATTCCAAGTGTTTATTCTTTATTCCAAGCTCAAAGATGCGTATTTTTAATCTGAATTTGAATATATGTTTCATGGCTTATTCATGCTCTGAAATACTTCTTGGCAGAGTCACCTAGATTGTGCAAAATGAGGCTTCTTTTAATGCAGAAATATTAAACAATGTGTGCCGGAGCACAGAAAGCTATTTGGACACAGGAAAGAACTATAAACATAGATTTGATTGTGATTGAACCCAAAATAGTGGTGTTAAATTCAGGTCTGGTTCAGACACTAAAAAAAATAATCTGCATTTTCCAAACTACGAGGATAAAATCAATCTGCAAAAGTATTTTAAGTTTGTAATAAAAATATCATTGACAAAGTAAAGTGAAAATAATAAAGTATATTTAAAATTACTTGGAGGTGTTCTTGAAAATTTATGACCTCTTTCCAATTGGAGCTTATTTAGCTGAAAAAGCCGTTTAAGAGCCTGGATGTAGTCATTTTTGTGCCTTGCAAGAAATGAGCCACAGGGCAAATGTTAACTTGTCTATTCAGAAACACAGGTACCTTTGATTAGACAGAATCTGTTGGGTTTTATTATTATATGTGAGCTGCAGTTATACAGTATTTATATTTTCTTACTACACAAATGACTGTGATCAAGCTCTCTAGTTTTACAGTGCAATGAATGGTTTAAGATCCGCAGGCTCTGCCCATACCAATGTATGACCAGATCCACATCCTTCCCCTCCTATGACCTCTGCTGCCAGCAGTCCTGCTAGAACATCATTCTGAGAACACCTTTTTTTGTGTCCCTTTTTCAAACACAAAATTAGGGGGCAGCAGCAACGGTTACAGTCAGCCACAGACTGGTTTGGATCTCAGATTAGAGCTCTGTAGCCAACAGGATACTGAAACTGATACCAAGACCTTGGGTCATCAATATTTTCCATTACCATAACTGCTGTTTAGCAATGTCTGGTTGATAGAAGGAGCGTGTGTGATTGAGGCCATGTTCATCTCTTTGCAAGAGAAAGAATTATGGCATTCATAGATTGGAAGAGAGTGGGTGATAAATAAAACTGAGGCTATCCAGAAAGCCCCAGGGAGCTTCCTCTCTGCAGAAAGAATAAGAAATTTATAGATGTCTAGAAATTACAGTTGAGCTTTTTGCCTTTTTTTTTTTTCTTTTTTTTTTTTGTGTTAGCCTCTTTCAGTCATAAGACTAGAGTTCAATTATCGGCACAATAAATATTCCTGTGAATCGGCACTGTGTGTTGGCAGCAAATTTGTGCTTCTTAGAAAGGAAGGAACATTTAGAAAACAATAGTTTGCCATCAAACTCTATCCTAAAGTCAGAAAGTGTCGGAGCCCAAAACATGTGTGTTCTGGAGGACTCGAATACAGGCAGATTAATGCAAGTCTGCTTTTGAAAGAAGGTTCTTAAAATATGAACTATTCATCCTAAAACAATGCCCTGCATCTGTGTTGTTTTCAAAACAAAGCAAAACAGTTACTAAGAGGCTCTTTTTGCTGCTCTTAGCAAAAGGCTGCACAGTAGGACTATTACCTGCAAATCAATTTAATAGATCAATCATTATGCTGGAAATACCACTTGTAATCGTAAAGTCTGTCACCTAAGGTGAGTTCCGCTTGCCAGATGGGAAATGGGAGAGATTCTAGTTTTTTTTTTCCCCCATCTTATACCTTTTGGAGTGGTTGCTGGGCTTATTTAGAGTATTCCCTGGAAGGTCTCCTTACTCTTCTAGTAGAGTACCGACTGGCTGAGGCTGGGCTTCTTCCCTGCTCCATCCTGGGCAGCAGATGAAGCCTGCTGATGAAATCAGAAGTTCCAAGAGAATTTAGAGTCCTGGAACGTTTTGATTCATTTCTCAACTGCTAGGCTTGGCAAATGCTAGAAGTTCATGTCTTCCCCAATATAGTCCATTGACTGACCCATATTGACTCGTTTTCAGCACTGTTCCTGTTTGGCATTAAATTTCTAGATCTGTAAGCAGTTTCTCTTAATTTAAGAGAGACATGACTGTTCTGGGCTCAAGAAGGTCTGACAAGAGGGAGTAGAAGTCATCCCGACTGTACACCTTTGGCCAAGGGGACTGTAATTCTTGGATCCAGCTAACACAGGCTATTTTAAGAGAACAACTTGGCCTCTTTACAGTAAACTTCTTCGGGGGAGAGTTCATTGCACCTAGCAGGCCTCAGCCAGTCTGGATCAGCGTCTGACATTTGAACTCAATGCTCCTAACACATTTGTCAGCTATACATGCACGCAGCAAGATGCAAAATGCTTCAATAGCTTCACATTTCCAGGCAATTCAACAAAACCTGATTCATTAGAAGCTATACAGGTTAGACGCCCATATAGATGTGTTTATTTAATATTTCAGTGGCTCTGCGGGTGTTGGATGTTGCAGGAACACAACTGCGTTAGCACCATAGCCATGAGAGTGACTGCTGAAGTTAGAGGTACCCACTGCAACAGGCTGGGGAGTATCAGAGTGGAATTTTACAAATGACAGTCTAGAGAGTTATAGTTGCTTAAAGAACAAGGCTGGAAAATTTGCAAAAATCTGTTTTCAATTATTGTAGGTTTTTTTTTTCTTTTGGGTTCGGCTTTAATTCCTCCAGGGGAATTTGAGCGCAGTACCTTAGTTGTTGCTTTGTAATCCTGCGTTCCTGTTGCTTTATTAAATACCTGGAGTTATAATCTTGTTTATGAAATCATTATTATCTCTCCAGTTGCAAATTGCAGCATTACGTAGAGGAGTGATTATGGCATGAGGCATGGAAAAATCGCATATGCAAATGGAGCAAGTTAAGCATAATGATGGTTCAGTCCCATACTGGGTGAAAAAACCATCACTTTGCTTTTCAGTTGAAGTATTCAGGTTTATATCAACTTGCAAACTGACCCCATTGTTTTTATATAAATGCTCCAACTGCCTGAAACAAAACAAACAAAAAAGAAGAGAAAACAAAAACAAACTGTCTCAGAAAATATATTATAAAAATAGATTTACTGCTATAAATAGAATAGTTTTACTGTGGTTCCAGAGCAGAAAACTGCATCTTTAGAAATCGTAGATGCTGAAGTCTAAGCACTTTTGTTACATACCATTTAAAGGCAGAATTCTTTTAAAGAGTCATCAACTTCTGATTTTGGGTGTGCAGCATTAAGTAAGAAGTGAAAACTACCATATATGTGTACTTTTTAAATGGAGGTTACTTTGCAGAAGTAAAAACTTCATAAAATGAAAACTGTTTAATCCTTTGGGTAACTACCTCGCTGCCTAGAGTGTTGCCGTGTGATATTCTCACCCAGCGGCAGTGCAGCTGAGCTGGCCTTATCCCGGAGTCTCCCTGCCCGCCCTGCACGCATTCCCATCTAATCCAAGGAGCAGGCAACCTCATTTTGAGACCGTCTTTTTCATCCCCTGCCTTGTTTTTAAGTGTAGCTTTAATGTCGGGTTGCTTTGGACTCTTTTCCGTCTAGAAGGGAAATAGGGGAATATAAACAATGAATGGATCTTATTTTCTTGCTAGCATCTTTCCCTGGCAGGGGTGTTAAAACCATGGCTTGTTTTCCCCGGCATTAAGAGGATTGTTGACCAGCTTTCAGAGTTGACAAGGTCACTTGAGGTACTGTGACGACAGGGCATTTAGGTACAGTAGTTGATCCTGTGTAATGTTAACCCAGGAAGCAGGGGGGAAACTGGGATGATCTTTCTCCTGATTTTTCTTGCCTAATTAAGGGTGTAGAAAAAGCAGACATTGCAACATAACAAAATGTAATTACAGAGAGGTTGCCTGGCATGTGTCCACTAAGAAACTGCACCTCCCCCCCCCCCCCCCCCCCTTTGAAAATAAATATATTTGAGTTCCTTTCTGAGCAGTTCAAACCTTTGAACAACTCCAGTGCTCGTGCCTGTATCCTGGAGGATACAGCTGCATGCGTCAGGGAAGATGTGCAGAGTTTACATGCTGGCTTGCCTGGGATTTCGGCGCTGTGTGGGGTTCCCTCCGTCACTCGCTGGTGCCAGCATCCAGAAATATCGGGCAGGTTGGGCCAAGAGGAAGTCGGAGCTGCCCTGCTGAGGGAAGGAGACGTCTGGAATTCCTATTCCACCATTCACAGCCCTAAAAAGGGAATTTTTTCTTTTTTTTTCCTTTCCTTTCTAATGGTGCTCTGTCCCTGTTTTCTTTTTCTTGCTCTGTTGCCTGAGGGAGAGCCAGAAAAGTGTGATTTGGGGAAGTCAGTGGGGCCAGCAGATCCAGATGATGCTGGATGCTGACATGGAAGCAGCTGTGGCACTTGGTGCACTCACAGAACACCATAGCTGTTAATTCGATAAAATAGCTTTTCCAATTGAGATATCCATCCTGGGACAGCTGATCTTTTGTACTGCACAGCCCAATCATGTCTTTAAAGCAGCAGCAGCACCAGAACTTCCTGGAGGGTGCCCGCACTTCACTGAACAGTTTGGCAGCTACAGCATAGGCCTGAGGGATACTTTCAAATTTCCCTGTAATTAATGAGCACCTCTGCACTTATGGCAAATTACAGTGTCTGATGTAGAATGTTGACCTACAGCTGCCCCATGCCAAGTAGCCTATTTAGACCTATTTATTTCTAAATAGAGCCTGTAAATGATAACGGGAAACTTCACTATTGATTCATTTACTCCTAAATGCTTCCTCTTTCAGGTATTGAAGTTGAAATAATATTCCATAATCCTACACTTAGGCTGATCCTCAGATTTATTGTACGTTTATTATGTGAAAATTCTCAAGCTATTTAACATTCCTGTAAAGCTAAAGAAATTAAGAGATGGAAAGGACTTGTTTGATCTTGCCTTGTCGGTACATAGCATTTCCTATAGAGCACCGATTATCTGCTTTACTTCTGAATGTCCTATGCCATGAAAAACCTTCCAGTTCTCCAGAATGTTGAATTGCCAGGAGTTTCACTGACTTTTCCTACTGCTGTGCAACAGTGCAAGCTCTTGTATAATCACTTCTTTGCTGTCACTGCTGTGCTTGTTTTGACATTATACTTCTGCATTTTTTTTCTGTCTCTGCATTTATTTGGTTTTCTTACTGTGTTTGTCCATTTTTCTGAAGTGAAATTCATTTTGTGCTCAGACTACTTCCAAAATCCTAGCACCTTTCTTTGTTTCTGTGTTCTTCTGGTGCAGCAAACATCTGTTTCATGGCTCTGCACAATTTTCATTCCTTTCCTATTTTTATTTTAACAAAGATTTTAAGTAAGATGGGACTCTCTTTCTGACTCTCCCCTTTCCTCAGAGTACTTTACTAAGTGAGTAGGTTCAGCTCGGGAGGTGATTGTTAGTAATTTTCATATGTTGCAGCAAGTTTTCAACCCATACAATAACTTCAGAACCAAGTCAAAATACTGCTGCGCACGCAGAATTTTATGAGAGTTTGTACTAAGTACTTTGCCAGAATCTAAATATACAACTTCTATTGTTCTATTAATACTGTAATTCTACTTGATATACACCATAGATATATCTAGTTTGTCAAAAAATATCCACGCTAAACCAGTGATACTAATTGGTTCAGGCAGCTCAGTTGTCTCCTTTATATGCTTTGATTTTATTCTGTTCATTTTTTAATCTGTAAATATTAGTTTGGACTGTTACTGTCAGGATTTCTCATCCCTTCTTTCTGGAAGATTTATATCACACTTGTCTATTTTTCCAGTATACAAATCTCTCACCATTTCTCCATGAATTTCTAGAAATAATTATTTATGATTTGGAGGGCTTGTTAGATAATTTAGTAAGATATTTTGAACAATTAAGGACAGTAGGTTGTGGATAATAATTTTAAGCTTGATCAAAAGCCCATGGAAGCCAAGTCTTCCAAGGCTTCAACTACTGTATTAATTTTACGGAGATCTGACTCCCTTTCTTTGCTGCTGGCTTGTTGTCTCACTTTTCACATAGGGCAAGATCATGGGTTAAAATAGTGCAAATCAGCATAAGTCTGTTGAAGCCTACTGTACCTTTGGAGGAACCAGTCCCTTAGGGTTAGGTGCCTTCCTTTCCCCATATATGCTGCTGGGATAAGAACTACTTTCCTCACAGGAGTGTTTAAGGCTTAATTTTTTATAGCATATAAAGTGCTCAGAGATGTTCAGATGAGGGATGTTGTGAAAATGCAAAGTAGTATTATTGTTGATAAATTATTTAAAATATTGTGGTCCATTGAGAAAATACTAGTTTGTAGGCAGTGAAGTGGTTAATGCGATTGCATCTCTTACAGGTTTCACCAGATACACTCACTCACTTACAATGGATAATTGTTAGCTCTTGTTGTGCAGATGCTGTTGCAGATGGAGCCCTGTACCTGCATGCATAGCAAATGAATTAGACTGGCAATCCCCTTTATAAAGCATAAATATGTAATTTGTTCAGCTGTTGTAATTAAATATGTATGTGTGAAACAGCCACCATTCAGGTCATTAATGATGCGCCATGCCAAATTAGAGCTTACAGACAGTAATGTACATTGTTGTGCAATGAGGGAATTGCAAATAACATAGCTAAGCCTTTCCTAGTAAAGTGATGGATTCAGTGGCTTTAAAAGGAATATTTATATTTCCAGCATTTTGATTGCTTCAGTCTATATTTACATTGATGCTCAATGAAAAAGATACAATTGGATGAAATTTTTTCTGTATTTGTTTTATACTCTTTGAACATGATAGAATACCCATTAGGTACGTGTCACACAACATTTATTGGGTGTAACATTTCATACCCGTTGGTAATATGCTGAATATGTTGCTATGATCATTCTTAAATATATAGTCAATTAAGATCTGGTAAGTACCTTTTCTTCAGCATAATGTAGACAAACACCATATCAAAGCACTTGGACAATTTTAATGCTTTCCATGTATCTGCTTGTTAATCTTTGGACTTCAAAGATATGACTGCAGAAGGAACCCTCACTGTGGTAAACAATGTATATATTTCCATGGAAATTCACCTGATAAAATAATTGTAATGAATTAAGCTTGCCAGTCTAGTGGGTTTATTTGAAATGCATGATGACTTAAACATTAGGCTTTCTTTCTCCTGTCCACATTCTTTGGTTCTTTCTTTATATTTACAAGAAAAAAAGGTAATTGTGCTTCAAAAAACCCCTTCCTTGAATCTTCTTGAAATAGCATAAAGTTAAGAGGCAGCTGGTTTTGCACAGCAGCTAACAAGCAGAAGGAAAAATCCTAACTCACTACACCTTAAATGCATCTCAAACCATCCTTCCTAAGCTTGTCTTCTTGTCTGTTTAAAATAGAAGAAGGTTTAGCATCCGTTTTGTTTTGACGGCTGGTTCCGAGTATACAAGAGCTAATCGTCTTGACCTTTCGGACAAACAGGGCAGCAGGAGGAAGCATCTCAGAGTTAATTCTGTCTTGTTCGCAGTGGGAACAGAACATTCCTCTGTGATCCTCTTTCACATGATTTGCTTGGGCCTCCTGGAAGCCCGTCCTGATACTATTAGCACTGGGCTTCTTAGGTCTAAAGGAGATCGATGGCCCTGACATCACCTACCGCTTATGGGCTGCCGTCAGGTTGGACTGGGCAAGCAGAGTTGTTAGGACTCAAGTAAGAAAAATTCAGAAGAAACTTTCTGTATTAGTCATTAATTTTCAAATTTTCACCAAATTTTCTCCTGGACTTCCTCATTTAAGAAGAAAAGTGTGTAGAAAATGGGATTAGTTGATAGACCATTTGTGGGAATTTACAGTGAGTTTACAACTCTTAAAACCTAGATTAAGGGAGTGATAGGAGTAAAGATTTTTTTCCCAGTTTAGAGCTATAGCAAACTCTGTGACTTTCTACATAACATCTAATTTAGTAGATATACTCTGTGACAGAAGTCAACTACTTCAGTGGCTTAAGTATGTATATTAAAGGCAACACTAATAATCATTTGTATAACTCTCTTTGCATTTTAGTTTAATTATAATATGAATGTGTGCTTGCTTTTCTTGCATTTCTTCATTTATTCCTTCCTTAGTAACTCCACTTTGTTTCTTTGTTGGAGACACTTTCCCAAAGTACAGTTTTCTCTGTTTGCTCATAGTAAAGTCTGCCTGATTTACGGCACGAACGAGTCAGATGTGCAGGGTCTTGGCATGCTCGCTTGCTGCATTTTAACACTACGATTACTGGTGCATTGGGAAGCCATTTCAAGGATGACCGCAATGATAACAGCCCGGAGCACAGCCGGGCCTCCTGTTGGGTTCCCATAGTTTGTTTTTCCCTCTTAACCTTTCCTTTCTGTAGTGATTTTATGAATATTGAAGCTGCTGATTCATGAGTTGGGTTGGTTGGGTTTAGCTACCCTTATTTGTGAAGACTCCAAGTCATGGTTGGTTTGGAGGGTGGGAGAGGGGTGAGAAAACCTATTTTCGCATCCATTGAGCAGCGTTGCGTCACCAGTACAGCGCTGTGTATTTCAAAACCTATTAATTTTTGCTGCTGAAAGACATCCTGTGTGCGACCGCTTTCCTACTGCCTCTTTCCAGCAGAGGAGTAGCTGTCTGTGAGCTTTTGTGTGCGTGTGTCCGAGGCCAAGATACCGGCTCAACTTCAGGCACAAGTAACACAAACCAGGGGCCGGGCAGACAGAACTAACTGGCGGCACTGTGGACGTTCACTTAACAAAGGGTTAATGTGGCTGTGCGGAGGTGCTCCCCTCATGCCAGAGACCCTCATGCCAGGCTGTCAGTGCAGGCGAGGCCAGGATGGCATGCGTAATGAATTAACCATTTCCCGGGAAGGGCAGCAGGCGCAGGGTGGCGGCCGGCCAGGTACTTTGTGATAAGCGCCCGCGGGCCGGGCTGAGGCGAGCGTCTTGCTCGCTGGCAGTCGCTGCTTTGGCCAGTGCTGCAGTAAACACTTTCCCTTGGATGTTGGTTTTCTGTTGTGTCTGGCAGCCACAGAGGGCTGCTTGAACTTTAGCCAGAGGCAAATATTTATACATCAGAGCATGCAGTGTTCAATGGGTCCGGCCTGTGGCGTGCTTCGTGGCCGGAGAGCAGGCGTCCCTCTTCACTGGGACCATCTTGGGGGTCGTGGCCGCTGTGGTGGCAGCGGGAACATTGGGAGCCCTGTGAAAACATTGCCACGGCGGAGGGGCCATCCCGACCGGAGCCGTGCGCGCGCCTTCAGTTCCCGTTGGAAAGTTTACAGTTAATATTTTCCCTGGAACACTGTCAAGCCTTTTTTTTTTTTTCTTTTTTTTTTCTTTTTTTTTTTTTTTTTTTGACAGTGAGTGTACGCTGAGCTGTGAAATTGAGACGTGGGGAGTGAGTTGCGAGAAATCTGTTTCTACTCAAATCTGTAAAGGTTTATAAAAACTTCCATCAAGGGGGGGGGGGGGGAATAAAAAATAAAGGAAAACCGAGGGGTGTAAAGGGGGGGGATATCAAGCGCAGGGGCTGTGGCTGCGGCCGAGGCTGGGCTCGCCTCGCCGGGCGCGCGGCAGGTCCGCCATTTTAAGAACGCAGCGAGGGGCGAAGCTCTCCGCTCCTTACATGGCGGCTGCCTCGGCTGCAGGGCCGGCCAATGGGGCGGGCGGTGCCAAGTCACGTGAGGTGCCACGACGGCACCGACAGCCATTTCCTCGCTGCTGCCTCACGAAACTCGGGTACCTCGGCCGAGCGCTTCACCTCACGCCTGGTGCCAAGCGCCCAGACTGGCGCCTGTCCATAAAGTTATTTTAGTAGGTCAAAAAAAAAAAAAAAAAAAGAAAGAAAAAAAGGAAAGAAGGGGAAAAAAAAAAAGTCTCAGAGCGTTCGGAGCTGTGTGCGTTCTTTATGTAAAATGGATTTCCCCTTGCTGGCCCGGGGCCAGGAGCGCGGAGCACGCGCTGGGCGAGGGGAGCGCTTCTCCGCTGAGGAACTGGTGGACTGACACACTCTAATTTTCTGGCTCCTGACCAGACGAGCGAGGTGGATGCCAAAATTCAACAAAATAACACATTATTGTGTAATAGGGACAGTGCTCAAAGTGAGCAAGAGCTCGCAGGAACTGAATACCAGCACTTCTATTTTTTTTCTCTTCTCCTTTCTTTCTTCTTCCTTTCTCTGCCCTTGTGCAGCAGAAGCTCGGAACTGGCACTTTTAATATACAGCTACAGTGGGGGAAAGAGGAATAAATATAACTGCAATGTAAAGAGTAACGTACACCCGGGAAGACGAAGTGGGGACAAAGACAGGGAGGAGGGAGCGAGGGAGCGAGACAGAGAGAGTTAAAATTACTTTTGTGAGACTTCCTTCAAGCATGTTCCATAGTGCTCAGGGCTGGTTTAACCCTGTCTTCCCTGCAGCAGATCCTGCCTCACGCGTCCCTCTTTCTCGTTCAGTTCCTATTCCCTTGGAAAAGCAAACAAACAGGCGTTAAAGGCAGCACCCAGAGCCTCTGAACTGGGGCCATCAGAGGGGTTGGAATCAGTGCCAAAACCCTCCTATTTCTAGAAAAAAAAAAAAACAAACCTTTTTTTTTTTTCTCTGTGGTGTGTCTCTGAAAGAAGGAGAACCTATGTGAAATACTGGTTTTCCTCCTCAAATAACCACCGTTGCCTGGGTCTGTCGTTGCTGATCTTAACACTGTAGTAGCACCGCCAAGCACCAAACCGCCTTTGAGGTAATAAATGAATTAAACTTCCTTGAGAAGGTAAGCGGCATTCCCTAGCTCCATCTGCACAATGCAGGTGTCTCCGGAGCTGCGCATGGCAACTCTTGGAAAGTGCAAAGCAACACAATAGGAAGTGAAAACCAACACAGCCTATGGAAACTGCAAGGGGTCGCGGGGTCAGCAGTATGTAATTACAAGAGTTGGAGGCCAGCCAGGACAAGTATGCCCATCGTGTTAGAGAAGCATCATGTGCCCACATGTATTGAGAACTTTCTGGTTTCAGAGTGGTCCATTAACATCTCCTGGTCCTCCTGCCGGTGGGAAGAGCATTCCAGAAGGAACCATGCAGGATGGTACCCAATCCTGGGTGGACTGTGCAAACCAAGGCTCTGCTCCCATTCCCCGCAGAGCAGCGGTGGACATGCATGCAAAGAATGGGGAACGACCTTTTCATCCCCGAGATTACATCTTCCCAGAGCACAAAGTAATGTGCGTAAACCTCTTCTAACCTCATGTCTTTACCTACCCTCTGCATCTCATAGACGCAGCTTGATTTCCACCCAAACGGATCAAAATCCATTGGAACATAGGCCGATTACTATCCTCTTAGTTGGATTTATCCCTCTTATCAACCCTGTATATTCCTAAGACAGATACTGCTGCGGTAGATAAACACCAAGATCTAAACCAAGAGACCTTGCCAGGATTTCACCTTGAAATCTGTCTAAAGAGAGCAAATATGGTAAGAGTATGCACAGTTCTTGTGCTGTATCTCAGATTTGACATGCCAAAGAGAAATAAAAAGGCCCATATCTTCTCATTGCTTTGTGACAAAAAAACAACCATAATGGGGTTTTTTTTGAGAAATATGGTTCTAGGTATTTCATGCGAGGGATGCAAGTAGCCACAGAAGGTGCTGTTTTGGTTTTGGGTTGAATCCCGGTTGTGCTCTGCCCCGCTCCTTGCAATTGTCCCTGCTCTGAATGGCTTACAGGTGAGAGTAAACCAAAGGTAAACAAACTGGTTTGGTGTGTTTGTGGCCTTGGGGAAAATAAACTGTATTAATGGTATGTTATATTCTTTAATTTGGGTTTTTTATGCCTTATCAAGTACAGAGTAGAAAATGCAAAATAAATAGTAAATAAAAAATAATGATATGGGAGTTAAGAGTCATCCTGGTGTGCAGTAACATTAAGTGTGGCAGTAATTATGGTTTGGACTTTCCATGTGAAAAGCAGATTTTTTTCCTCATAACTGGTTTTATGTCCTTCTGGAACAAAGTAAAAAACTCTTCTGGCAGTTTTTTAATTGAGGTTTTGTAGTTTTAATGGTCTAGTGCTATAAAGAAGTCAACCCTTCTGCCAGTTTTTTAAGACCAGATAAGGGTTTGACATGTTAAATGCATGTGTTTCTCTGTGTACATGTATCCACACACTCACTCCCTTCCTCTTTCCCTCTCTGTCTCTGGTAGAGGGAATAGGAGACCTTCAGAGCAAATATTGTTACAGGGTTCAGAAATGTAAAATAAGTTATTCTTCCTTCAGTGTATTTGGATTGTTTCTCTCTGTGGAGCTGGCTGGATATACCTATGGTATTATAAAAGTGAACTGAAGTGCCAAGAGGGCATTTCTGAGAATTTGTTTATGCAGATTCTGATTGCAGTTACCATGTGAATGACTGAACCACTCGACTTCCATGGGTAACTGCACTTCTGCAGTGGGTCCACAGTTGCCCTACAAGCTGGCTTTTCAGAGCAAACCCTTTCCCCAGCCAGCAGGGAAATGCCTGGGACTCTGCATGCCTGCTCTGGAGCTGTGGCTTTATGGCCAGAAGAGTGTCAGAAGTTGATGCAAATTACATGAGCTTTACACCTAGAGACCTAACTTGCCTTGGGTTACCATTTTGGCACATGGGGTTCAGGGAACATCCAGCTTTGCAATGTATCCTCTCTGTCCGGTGTCCAGCTTTGCAGAACACCCCTGTGCATGGTGTGTTCTTCCCCAGGAAAGACCTGGCTTTCAGTACTCTAAGGAAATAAGAATGCTATCAAAAAAACCCAAACAACCAAACCCCCCAAACTAAAAAAAAAAGTGGTAAATAAGCTGTGGAAAAAAGCAATTTGCAGGGAAACACAGGGCTGTTGGTAGTGTGCACTGTCTTTGGGTAGCATCCAGGCAATAATGTGGCATAGTTAAAGCTGTTACACAGTGTGGGTGTCACAGGAGTATCATTGGACTGGTGTAACTTCATCATCTTCAGAGATGAATTTGTGTGGATGTGATAGGAGAATCTTGTATTTCTTGTATTCCTTTTCTCTCTTGGTTTTGTGGTTTTTTTTTTTTTTTACACGTTAATGTGTTCTTTTTTTGCTTAAAAAGCCACCACTTTAAGAACTGAGAAAAGCCCAGGTGCAGTAACAATAGCTGATCCCAAACAAACAGCAATTCGCTTTTGCCACTCTGCAAAGATAAAGCATGTCATGTACATTAGCAAAAGATAACTGACATTAACACAGTAGGCAAGGTGATTACGTACCACACTATTGACTCTCTGTGATCATTATTGCTGTTTGGTGGGTTGCTTAAGTGGGTACCTGAAGGTTAAGTAATAACTGTAGTAAGAATGAGAGGGAAGCAGAGAGAAAGAGAGAAAGGAAAAAGAAGATAGAAAACATTGACACAAGGTTAAAATGGAGGAAAGTGGATAAGTGGGGGTGTGGATGTCTGAGGAGAAAGGTGAGGTGGCTATGGCTTGGTAAGTGATATTTAAGGGCTGGTGGCTGAGTAAATAATGCATCCAGTTCTGTTTTCTTTGAGATTTTTCTGTTAGTGAAACATAACTTTGGGGTAAACCTGTTAAAAGCCAAAAGAGTAGCGTCATAACTTTCTAAATTTTCCAAGAGGTGTTCTCTCTCCCCAGCTTTAAACAAAATCCAAGAGAGTGCAAGGTTGAGATATAGAGGTTTTGTGAAAACCCAGCCTCCTTTTTACTCAT